TCAGTACAGACATACATGATAATGTATACACCTTGAAAACGCAAAGAATTAAGTTTCCAGAGACTCGGAGAACTGGTGGAAATATCTGTTGCTTAACTATTACAATTGGAAGATGGAAAACGATGATGGAAATATCTTAATTCTTCCTGAATATTTAAGTTTATCATGCAATATAGATAATAATTATGATAACATATACTCTATTATTGGCATACAATGCAATTTATTCAGAATTGCCTATATCAAATCAATTTCAATATCATTATGACTGTATATTATGATGATCTGTCTTCTACATTGCCGTGGTTACTACTATTTTTCACAATTTTTTTCTAGTCGAGATAAATCATAAATCTGTCTTTTATTACAGTACTTGCCAAAAGTATAATTCCTTCTCCCGTGCAGTCATCCATTCCCATTACTTCATTCAATATAGTTTATTCAAATCACCAGTAAATGATCAATATAAATGATGACATGGTCACCCAAAGTATGACACCGTATCATATTCAACAACACCTTTAGTTGCACTAGAGATGCAAAGCTGAGATCAATATCTTCTCATTTTTACATACGTAAGAGCTTGGTAACATATCCCAATGTGAAAATAATACAACATGAAACACGCGAATGAAAAGGGTGAAAATGTGTTATTTTTAAACACATGAAACCGAGGCACGCATTCACGATCACGTCATACACGCTCCCCAGCGCGCCCGAGGTGGATGAAAACATATAAACGGGGGTTGTGATATTGGCGTGTTGACAAGCCTTACGCAAGACAACAGAGGTAAATGTAAGGTGTTTTTAAAGGTAAAGTTGGGTTCTGGTCATGCAATTTTTTTTCATTTCACTTTATTTATCAGCAAAGTGTCAAATATATTATATTTTTACATGATAATAGTTACTAAATGGGGCCAACAAATAGTAAACACTAGTCAATGTGGGCCATTCAATGCAATGATTATGGGGGGACCTGTATGACGTCTGGAAGCAATTGGGAAAATATTGATTATGTAGCACTTAAGAATCTGTGTTTAAAGCGAATTTTTGCAATTAGCGAAATAATAAGAAATTGATTTGGTCTGGCTGAAAGTCACATGCACTGTGCACAGAATTTTGTTTATGGGACTACCCAAACATGTGGCATTAAACTTTGGTCGAAACTATGCAGCAATGTATTGTCATATTTCAAATTACAAGGGCATCTGCAGAACAAAGGACATTTCTCACATTACATTTTCCATGATATTCTTCCTTTTACTAACATAACATCATGATGAAGCTAATGAATTTCCCCCCTTTTTTGTCCAAACACAACCTACTCTTTAAATGGTTTGTCGGCTTTATCATCGTGGCATCACGCACGAGCTCGCACACCTGAAACCTCTTGATCTGGTAGCTATGGTTCTCCACTTCACAGATCTAGGACGATGCCCTACTAATCTCCCTCTCATGTGAGCTCTTTAAAGGACTATAGGGGTATTAAGTCCAACATGACATGTAGAAAACATGCTAATGAAAAGATATAAACTGCATCGGTACAATGGACTGAATGGAAGGGAGCTTAGTGCGTAATGGACATTTGGATATTGGGTCTGACATCGCAATTGAATGTAAAGTGAAAAAGAAAACAAGATGAACGTGAATGAAGTCTTCATGAGCACTACATGGACAACGGGTTATCATCACAGCATGTAAAACTTATAAGAATAAACTTAAGATTCAATATGTCGACTAAAATAACTCTAATTAGGGGTTAAAGGACAACGATATAATTATATTAGGTCTAACATCACGACGTATGGAATTTGACAAGACAGACTTCGGAGGTACAATTTCTTGAATGAAAGCAACTTTGATCACTTATAGAGGACGAGGGGATATCGTCATTTCATGTAGAAAGCCACACGTATGCGTACAGTGATTGAATGGAAGCATCTTCGAAACATAATGCTGAACAGCTCTTGTTATTTGAACATTTAAAGAGTAATTTGGATATTCGGTAGTAATAGTAGTAGCAGTATTAGTATAGTAGTTGTATTAGTAGTAGAAGTATAGAAGTAGTAGAAGAAGTATAGTAGTAATAGTAATAGCAGAAGAAGTATTAATAGAAGTAGTAGTGAAGAAGAAAAACACGTTGTGTATTCTCAACTGAAAAGTATATTGACACAGTGATTAAAACTGTGAACTTTATTTTTTATCTGATTTTCTTTGGTTTGATTTGATTTTTATTTTTCTATCCACATTAACATCCACGACGATTTTCGCATGGCACGTACTACATTGAAATAAGTTGTATACATGTGTACATAAAAGGTCATCATGTTAAGGAAAAGCTTAAATGAAAAGCAACTGCAACAAGACAACAACAAAAACAAAACTATTTATAAAATGGCGTCTATTGTTACGACTGGCAAAAAGACAAAGCATTTCCTAATATGTGTATTAACTGACAAGAGACAACTTGAGCACTGAGTAGGTATACCCAAGGATCACGAGCATACTAGTTGATTGTTATAAATATTGGGATAAATGAGGCCAACTTTTAGATAATAGAATTTGAAATCAATTTTTTTTCTCTTAATTATATTAAAAAAATTATAATTCTATCCCATCGCCTTACTGCGTTTATCAATCTCTAAATCTTTTAATGCCGTTCAATTATCCAATTACTACATTGTACATCTCTACATCTCTCTAATTTTCCTTAATATTCAACATCACTAAGTTCTCGTAAAATCTTGATATTTCAGGCTCAAATGACAGGGTAATTTGTAAAATCTGGGTTAATTATAAAAGCCATAATGGAGAGGAAATGCGCTTGAAATCTTTCGTATTGACGTCCCCATTCGATCTTTAAATCCATGGAGAGCATTAAGGGCTGTTTTAAGCGCTGGAGTACAATCTTTTATTCTTAGCCCAATCAAACCCGTCTCCCTCTGGATACGCATCCGTGACAGAAGAGCAGGCGACAGTGGGAGGAATCGCCGCTTAAATATCGAATTACCGATAGGGAAAAATCATCTGGGCGGGAAATGATGATTGCAGTTTTAAAACAAGTGGGGCAGAACAATATTTACTGTAATATGAAATATCATTATGGGATGGATATATCGTTTTTTTTTAGATGAGGCAGGGGGTGTTGCTTCTGAAAGCGTCTAATTGTTTCTACTTAAGAATGCTTAAAGCCCGTCTGCACTAGTTTGACCAGGGGATTAGACCTCCCTGCAAGATCCCTGACAGGTGGTTATCTCATCAAATCAGCTCTCAATTAACATAAGAAAAAGGGGATCATGGGGGACCAACAGGCACCGATTAGGCATTGTTTGCTATACAGAGGGCGCAAGTACATGTAGATAGCGCAGTGGGGCTTTAAAGGAAAGTATAAACAGGACATGACATGAAAATGATATTGATACACAAATGTTTTTTGAGAGGTTTCACCGCCTAACGTGGAAACGGCACTTGACCCTGAAGGAGAAAAAATAACATCAAGAGCGCATAGGTCTACGCAGAAACAACATTATACTTGAGGCATGCATACTGATATATTACTCTTTGGTTTCAATGTTCAGTTTAAAATTCATAGTCAAGATCAAGTTTCTTACAGTAAGGATTACAGCATACTCATTCGACTGTGCTATCTCCGTTTTGGGATCCCCATTTTAGGTGCGACTAGACCACCCCCCCCCCCCCCCAAAAAAAAAAAAAAAATAAAAAAAAAAAAAAAATATTACATCTCTCTCTCGCTCTCTCTCTCTCTCTCTCTCTCTCTCTCTCTCTCGCTCTCTATTTTAAAGTGCCTTCATAACCTTCATCCACATACCCTATTCTCTCGCCATCACGTCTTCATAATCATCAGTTATCTTCCTTTGCACATTATCTCTATATCTCTACATCGCTTAAATATGTTCTCCTACTGATATGTCCCACTTGCCATTTCTGTGTAGGCAACTATAGGATGGACTCCCATCTATTTCTCTCTCTCTCTCTCCCTCTCTACTTCACTGAGTAGCACGTCCGCCATTTTCATCCCTGGCGGTTCACCTAACACACGCACACATCCTCATTCACACACGCCCACCCACCCACTCCACATTCTCGATGTACATGTGGGGTTTCACTATCTATTCTTAACCCGCCGCCTCCGGCTGGCTCTCGGGACACCTGTGTGATTTCTCCATGGCCAACAGAAGCGGTAACCGTTTGATCATTATCCCCTCTTTTGTACACTTTTATCTTCCACTTTATGTCGTAAGGATTCAGCATTTCAGAATCTGTTTTTCTCGCATTGTTTGGTTTCATAAGCCCTCTTGCATATTTATTTTTGCTATCTATTCTTTGACTTGGAAGTTCCACTCGAATGAAGTACTGTGTTTTCCGCTAAGCTTTTCACACATGACATACATCCAATTATCCAATGATAGTGATAAACATTGAATTCCATAAACAGGATGCCTACCCGAAAGGGAAGGGGAGCAATGGGATTCCCTCCCCAGTCAAAGTATTCCCCCCCCCCCCCACTCCTCCACCACCACTACCACCACCACCAACCCCGACCCCTTATCAGCAGCTCCTGAACAAACGATGACGGAAGGTGTTTTGGGAGATTCCTCAAACATTTCATTTAGCTCCAAATTTCTTACCATCCACTCTTAAAAACACTCAACATTGTTCGAAATAAAATAGCATACTGAAGAATTCAACTATTAATGCAGTAATGTATAAACGCTTCTTTCTTTATTTTCATTTGAAAACAGAAAGACTAAAAAACAAAAATATAAACAACAAACCCGTAAATAGGCAAAAGAAAAAAAACAAACTTCAAGAATCAAACCCAAAATCGAATTAATTTACATATATGATGAAAAATAGCGACAACTTCCAACAGGTGGTAGTAATGGTTGCTATGCGATGATGAAAAGAATAGGCTATTTAGTGCCACCATATTTTCTATTGCCACCATTATGGGAAAATTAATTAGAAGTGTTACTCACCTAAAATCACAAAATATAGGTTGATAATCCAAATCATCTTTGCAGCATTAAGTATATTCCAGTTAGGAGTTTTTGAATATCCTCTGTCAATAAAGACAGTCTCTTGTGGGCAAACTAGACGAGCTTTATAAATACGCATCTCCACAGACACCTTTTATCCAATCAGCGCTCCTGTTTATATATCACGTGATATTTCCGACGACAGAGTTTCGTTCATTGCATGCTGTCAGAGCGACGTGAACGAAGTGAAATGAACGCTACGACGCCTGCTTACGTTGCTTTATAGCAAAATATCATGAATACAAAAATCATGATATTGACAAAAAGATGATGAATAGTTGAAACATGGCTTTCGTGCGATGTGATCCGTAATTAATTGAACACAGACGTAGAGAATGGATATACGAATTCACATCTCGGCGGGGTTTTTCCTTTGGCGTAAGTCCGCAGCTGCTCGTAGTCAAACGCACAAAATTATAACCCCTTCCAAGTACATTAGCCCTCTAAATTAGATGAGCTCTTGCTTTAATCGATGTTGGCTTCATTCATGTTCTACGTTGCGCTTGCAAGCTGCGTGGTTTTGTCCAATGGTGTGAATTTATAGATTGCCAAGCTGTAGCAGTGAACTTTTACCGATGCAAAGAATGAAAAATAATAATGTCTCTCTGATGGAATCATTGACTTAAGATATAGTATATTATTTCTTTTTCACACTTCAAGTTCAAGCTTAGATCATGGCAAGTGGAGAAATAAAAATCACACTTTATTGAGTGATATTTGATTCGGTTTAAACGTTAAAAGGACTGTGAACTTATACGAGTTGTCTTTCTACCGACAGAAATAGGTGATAAATGTTTGATTTTCACACTCTAAATAAGCTTACGAGATGGAATCATTCACCAACAGTTTCACTGACGTGTTGGCTAAAAGCACCTGCGCTGCATCAAGATTAAATTGGTAAATTATTTCCTCATAAAGAGCAAAGTTCAGATAATTATGTCAATAGATTTTTGATATCCTGATGTTCACCATTAATTATTTGACATAATTATATACTATACAAGTTGGATTAACGTTCTCAAAAAACACGAAAGTCCACGTAACAGTAGATTAGCGAGCTAGAACAAGGTCGATATTTGCTCCAGTTCAAGAAGATATTCCTGTTCGGGGTTTACTGTCTTACGATTGTGAAATCGTGTCAGAAAAAAAGAAAATGATGATGATCCAGACAAAAGTCTTGCAATGTTGGTTAGAAAATCCTGTATAATGAGTTTGAACAGATCAACACCTGAATTAATAATCCAGTCTGTGAAGTCATGGATGTAAAAACATCCTATAGTGTCGAATGAGATGATAATTGCAGCTTTTTGTTTAATCCAAGTCACCTCTCGTAGCGCGTAGGCTACCAGAAAAATCAATCAGAGCTGGTGTAAAATGAAAAACCTCTCTTCAGTCAATCGGATGTATCTCTTGATCTAGAGCTGAGAAGCTGGAACAGCAGAATCAATAAAATACACCTGCCAATGCTTCCATTTAACACGTTCGAATCAGGATGGGGGTGCTTGGAGCGAGCGAGTGGGTAATGAAGGAAATGGAACGTAAAAGAGATCGGTTGGTTAGAGACGATAAGTATTCAGGGTTTTGCTTCGCCTTGCATTAATACGCCACGGCTCGGCTCAAGTTGTCCATCCATTCACAAAACAACGCCACAGATCGCATCAAGTAGTGTATCAGTGAGGGCATCAGTGGAGAAATACTAGAGCGGTGTTCGTTTACCAGCACACTCGAAAGAAAGTAACGAGTACCTTCTCCTTAGTAATGGTAACATGCGACTTCTACGGATTTCCTCTCCTCTCTGACTGACTTCTCTGTGTATCTCTTTCTCTCTCTCTCTCTCTGTAAAAGATCTTGATCTCGGAATCTTCAAAGGAACTCCTGGTTGCTCTCGTCAGCAAGCGGAATCTGAGTACATTTGGCTAGAAGTTTGTGGGCACTCAGATAGTTTTTCTCTTCAGTACATCCCAATCAGTCAATGCAATTCGCTTTCGTGTTTATTTCTCCCCTATCTCCTCCTCCTCCTCATCTCCTTGTCACTCTCCGTCTCTCCTACCCTCTCGATTTCCTCTCCATGAATAAGAAATGCCAAAGACGTCTTAATGGCGCTTTACGGCAGGTGTTTTCTCACCGGCAGCATCTCATTTGCGACTTCTTGATAGGGTCTTTACTCCACTTAGCTCACCTGCCCTCTGTTGACTCTCTTCCGTGAATGTAAATAACACCCCTAGTCTGTCACGAACCTCCACAGCAATGACCCAGCTACTGGACAACTCCACTAGAGGCTCTTGAATTAAAACGAAGGTGTCACTCCGACTTTTGATGCCTCGCGTATTCTCAAGGAGGTCAAATCCAGCATGAGAACAAAATGACGTTTCGCGTAATAATTAGTCAAAAACCCGCATAAAACAAGGTCAGAATTCACGAATGGCATATAACTCAGTAAAATTTACATCGAAACATTTGTTTGATATAAGCCTATGACGAAACAGAGAATCGCAAAGCTGTTTTTGTAACATATCCAGTTGCTCCAAATAGATTTACACTAATTCCCTTCTTTATAAGACTTCGACTATAAAGCGTTTTTTGAAGAGCTTCCAGAATACCAGCGGCGGCGTCCAGCACCGTCTCACGCTCCAATGGCTTGGTGGTGCGACCTGAGAAGCTGAATGGATGTGTACATCACAAGCTCATAAGTGTTGCGAGTAAATAATCATTAGGTCGCACGTCCCCAACGCCGTACGCGCGTGTAGGCTCGGTAGGGCAACGCCATGCGAGAGTAGTCTGTGGAAGCTGTATTCCTCGGATCGCTCTAGCAGTGATAGGGAGTTGAGCTGTACAAAAATCTACTCCTGATCAAAATCCGTTTATTTGGCAATGGTGCCGCTTCGGTAAATATATAAAGGGTGGTTCTCCTTCCTCTTCTTCTCACCTTTTCCCACTTTATTTTCCCTTGAGGTAAGCACTGGATGATAGGAAGCGACTGGCATGAGGGTGAACCTATGAACTTTACTCAGGCTCTGTAATTCCTGGAGGGGTATGGTCTCGATCTGTCCTCATCCTCTCACTCCTATCGTCTACTTCCAATCCCATTCCCTTTCCCTTTCACCTAAGAAAAACTCTGTGATCCCTTTTCTTTCCTCTCTCTTGCTATTAGGCACATCATAAATTCAATGGCGTTATGTATATGCATTATCCATCGTCCTTTATGATTACCAAGTTCGTCTACCCCTCACCCTGCCTATCTTTTGTCTCATTCTTTCATTTTCTCTTCTTGTAATTTTCCGCCATTCGATTGGGGGTGGGGAGAGGTGCACCGTACCACTGTAGCAACATTACAAATAATATTCTTCCTCATTTATTTTTTGTATCCTTAAAACAAAAACATACCTTCACATTCCATTTTACCCTCACTCCTCTGCATAAAAAATACTGCAAAGTGCCCTTTGCCCTGTAGCTACGCCATTAACCATGTAATACTTCAGGCCTAATATTCTGTAACCTCTCTTCGTACTTCTTTTTCCCCTTACATTCCCTCGCATACAAACATTCCCCTTTTGTGCCACCTCTTTTCAAAACTGTAAATTATCCCATGCAATGCGTAATCTTATAATCCCTCTCTTTCAAAGCTCTTCTTTAATTTTGCGTTATTATTATTTTCGACACCTGCTTCATATATTTTGTTTTGTTTACAAATTTGTCTCCTTGTTTGGGGTGTGTTTTCACGGTTGAACTGCACGATTTCTTTTCATATAAAATGCAATTTCACCTCCCAGGTTGCTTTAATATTCCATCGCTATGTTCACTGATGTTCAATTTCCTTCGCAATACCAAGCAGTTTGTTGCAAGGAGACGAGCACAGTAAACCAAAGGTGATTCGATTGCTGATAGGACGACAGAACACATTGTTCACAAAATTAATAATATTCAGTTCTTGTATAGTAGCGCATATCACATTATAACCTTCCTATGTGCTTACAAAGAGCGTTAGAAATTATCACCCGAGCCTTAGATGAATAAAAAGGCAAATCGAAAGGAAGGGAATGAATAAAGAACAAAAACATCAACGAACAGACAGAATGGGTGCCTGGTATCAAAGTAATTCCATAGGAAATTAATTTTGTTCAAGGGCGTATAAAGAAAACACGAACAAAAAAATCACCTTTCAAAGTCACTGTTTCCTCCCAGACTTTTTCGTTGTAATTTTCCATTATCTCGTTGCCATGTCAACAAATTTCTGAAGTGGATCCTAATCGCATCTTTCGTGCCAATTTCATCTTGCTCCTGAAAATATGAGAGCTCTCTCAAGGTCGAATCGTGCTCACATTATTCTGCCATTCGCCCATGACCTTGGTAGTTCATTAATGTTCTACGCGAAGAAGACGCATTGGTTGTTAGAGAGGTGGGAATGAAGGAGCGATAGTACTTTGAGATGAGAGCCCGAGGAATGAACAAAGAATGAACAAAAAATAGAATACGGGAATACTGTATTTCAGGTATAGTGCTAGAGATTTACATCTTCTGGTCAACAATCTAAATATTTGTGTAATTAATGTGTAACTATATACATCTGTATTTCATAATTATGATTATATTCTTTCATTTTAGATTATTCAAAATGTTCTCATTGAATCGAATTTCGTTTTCATCTCTATTTGATTGTAATAATTTTTCAAAAAGTTTCAAAACGCTCAAATTTCAAATCGCGCTTTGATTGTATTTTTGGTCATTACAGTTCTCAAATATTTTGTTTACGATGTTATACATCACATCAAAGTCCCATTAAACCCATATGCCATGATATTGGTAATTCCAGTGGCCTAGGGTGGCCCCGTCAGTAAGGGGGCACTGGTGTTATCGAGGGGCGAAGGGGGGGGGGGGGTATCGGTCTTATTAAACGCGAATTGACAAGGCCATCTATTTGGTATAGGGTATGGGAGGGATTGAATCGTTTTCGTTTCACCCTTCTTTCCACCCTTTTCCTTTTCTCTTTCTCTCTCTCTCTCTCTCTTTCTTCCTATTTTGGGGGTGTTTAATCGGGACATGTGCCCCCGTGCCCATTGAGGCTACGCCATTGAGTGATCCTATACCCCATGGACCTGGCTCTAAGAGTACACGACGTGTTGAAATGTCGGTCAAGGAGAAGATATCCCCTTGTTTGTATACAAACTGTGCGGTTTACAAGATGGTGGATTGGGGGTGGATTACCCTCAGTGAAAGGGCAAGAGGACTAAAGATGAAGAGAGAGAGAGAGAGAGAGAGAGAGAGAGAGAGAGAGAGAGAGAGAAAAGAGAGGGGGAGAGAGAGAGGGAGAGAGAGAGAGAGAGATAGAGAGAGAAAGAGAGAAAGAGAGGGGGATAGAGAGAGAGAGAGAGAGAGAGAGAGAGAGAGGGGGGATAGAGAGAGGGAGAGAGAAGAAGAGAGGGGGATAGAGAGAGAGGAGGGAGAGAGAGAGAGAGAGAGAGAGGGGGAGGGAAGAGGGAAGAGGAGAGAGGGGAGAGGGGATAGGGAGGGGTATTGTAAGAGGGGTGTGGCGAGATGGATATATTCAGTGGAAGGTAATGGGGGCGTGCAGCAGCGGGAAAACATGGGTCCAGCCATTGAGGAGACACTCATTCACGGGGGGGGGGGGAGGGGGCGACGGGAACCGTGGTAGGTAGGTCTTGTTGTTATAGGGAATCTAATGGGAGATAATTAAGTCATCGGGGGTGTGGGGAGGTTGGGACACGGTTGTATCATCTTTATATCGAACCCCCCCCCCTCCCCCACTCTCCTTCCCATTTGTATGTTTGTTCGTTTTCATTAGTCCACTGGGACACGTATCCCTATTGTAGCGAAGCTTCAGTATAGTTGTCTCTTTTACATACTTCAACTTGATTCAAAGTAAAGAACACGTACGGAATCGGATACATTCATCAACTTGAAACACTATCCTCGTTGCCACTTCACCACAAACACCGTGGCAAGACCGTAAGCAGCAGTATATTTTCATAAATAATTTGTCATCTTTGAAACTAAGCTACCGATTGTCCATGATTGGGTGATTATAACATTTTCCTCTCCAGAAACGTAGCTTATATCATTTGAATTCAATTCTCACTAAAAATTTGCAATGAAGCTAACATAAACATATATATTTTTATTTTTTCAGATAGTTTACGTTGAGAAAAGTACAATGCACACAACCACTGTGCTCTGTCTGTACATTTATTATTGGTAGAGGGCGACACACTATTCTTCGACTACATGTCATTGACTGTGCTTACTGCATCCTGTATAGATCAACGGTGTTTTAAGTCAGTCTCTCTCTCTCTCTCTCCCTCTCTCTCTCTCTCCCTCTCTCTCTCTCTCTCTCTCTCTCTCTCTCTCTCCTTCTCTCTCTCTCTCTTAGCTTGTTCCTTTCCCCCTCTCGTTCTTTTTGTGTTCTCTTTTCATTCTTTATCATACCCCGTGTCATACTCTCGACCTAAGTTTTCCCCGTGAAATCACACATTATCACCATTAATATACTGTACTAGCAGGGAGCAATGTGAAAAGAAGAGGAAGAGCTCTGTCGAATTGCATGCATCCGGCCGGCCTTACCTTTTTCTACAGAAAAAATTTAAAACTATATGACATTGATCTTTATAAATATTGGAAAAATATCATTACACTATCCCCATGAACTACATACATAAGAAATTTCAAAAGTGCATAGTGAAAGGTACAGTAAACAGGCAATCTTTGGAGAAAAAAAATGATGAAACACAGAAAAAATAAAATCACTAATCACAAATAGAAACAAAATTACATAATATAATAGATTGTCAAGTTTTGTTTTAATTTGCACAAACATGAAGTAAGATTTCAATCACACCCTGATGCGAGTGCATATTCAAAAGACACATAAATCAACACAAGCCAAGCATGACAGGGAACGGGGGAGGATGAGGCAAGGGAAAGCAATTATTTATCCCCTCCTACATTCTCCCAGCAACATAAGTCATATATTTATAATTTTCCAATTGTTAACACACTTTTTTGTTCGATGAATACCCCCCCCCCCCCCTCCTTCCATTTCCAAGACAAAAAACATGAGTACATGAGTTGTGAATCCTAATCCTTGGGTAAAGCTGCAAAGGGCATGGCAGGAATTTGCACATGTAAAATCTCAAAACATGTGAAAAAGCCAAAATGTTGTAAAAACAAAATCACAACGGAAAACTTTTTTAAAAAGTATGGTGGCACAGTTTTCATATTAGCAAAATTACAGTCATTTTTCTTTAAGATTTGAATTTTGCAACTGGCAGTGTTTTATTCAACCCAATATTTGCTTTGTACAGTAAAAAATTGAGGGCTTCCATTTTCACACATAGAGAGAAAATCACAGAGTCTTTTGATATTTGCACATACTTTCATAAACTCATCTACATGTAGCTACTACGGATAAACTTTGAGATACCCTTTTAGGGCTTGCAAATCCCCAAGATGGGCTTTAATGTACAGGTACATGTAATCACACACTTATAATACTGTAGCACACATGAGAGCAAAAATTCAGTTTAAAAAAAAAAGCAGCAATAACAAAGAAGCAAAGAAAGAAAAGAAAAAGTAAAAACCCCATAATGTGTTCAAAAATTTACAAAATAAACTGATATGTACATATATTGCAAGTTTTACTCTGCTTACAAAAACACAGAAAAACATAGCAGAAATAAAATTATAAAATATTTCAAAACACTTATCTTCTCTGTATTAACAACATATTTTTGACATCAAAACAACAAAGAATACAAATCTTTAAACTGTTTATTATTTTGTTATTTTCTTGCTCATGGCCCATAAAAAAAATAACTAGAAGGAATGCATATTATGTACAATGTTTTACTTCAGTCTTTCATAATAGTTCCATAAAGATAAAAATTCAATTTGGGATAAGTACACTTCACCTGAAAGGTCCTTCATAAATTTGCTATAAAGTAACTCTTAATAAATCTGGTCAAAAAGAACACTGTGCAGCATTTTCATGCACATGAAACTCTATACAAGATTTATGCATGTCCAATGTGGGTCATTAAGAAGTGCTATTTGTAGAAAACTATGAATAGCAATTTAAAAATTCCAAATACCAACCTACACGTTCATATTCAATGGTAGTAGATTTTTTTTCTGTCGTAAAGTGTATATATATATTCTGAAATATTAACAGTACATGTATATTTAAAAATATATTATGTCCAATAAAGTATAGAAGCAAACTAATTGCACAGTACATATAATAGTGAGTTCAGCAGGAAGTTCCATGTTTACGGTAGGCCAGCTTTCCTCATAAATAATTCAAGGTCACAAATTTGTGGATACTCTTAGACTTGCGCAATTGTCCCCAAAGGGCCCGTTCAGATATTGTGCCGTAAACCACAACTGCCGCAATAAGAAAAAGCACAATTTTTTTAAGGTGTAAATGAACTACGTGCAACAAAGGATTGGCTTGTATTTACTAGTGCTGTAACATCACGGATATCTCCAATTCCGTTTAACCGCCTGTCAAAACCGGACGGTTTTCGGTTAAACAATTTTTTTTTTTTTTAAATAAACAAAAAAAGCTGGAAGGTGATTTAACTGAAGGCGCCGATTTGTGCTTGTGAACTAGTCACAAACAATGTCGTTTTATAATAATGTGTAAGATCATTAAAGTAAATTAAAAACAGAGGACCTAGGATAGAACCTTGTGGTACACCATGTGTTAAACTTGGATGAATATATATTGAGATCTATTACAAAGATTACTTTCAAACCAAGATGACAGACAAATTGGAGTGTTGTTCTAGTTTCCAAGTGGTAAGTCATCACACCGATTACTGAGCTGGGAGACATTGCCAGGCATAGTGCCAGGTGGAGGGGCATAAATCGAAACTTAAAAAAAAACCTAAAAAAAACGGAATCCGCCATGGGCGGTCGGATACCGGGCGGTCGGATACCGGACGGTTAAACGTTTGACTACAGCACTAGTATTTACTCAACTCTGTGTTATAAGATACAGATATGTGAAGCTTATTACACCGCGTTACGTCATCATTCTAAAAAGACGTCACACTTGTGCCGCATCATATCTGAACAAGCCTATTAGTGTTCAGGGTTTGATATATTCATGTATATGGGAAAAACAAACTGCATGCAGTGTAGTCTATATCTGCGTGGTGCATGTATGTGTATTTTGCCCAAAATATGCTGACTTTAACTGTAACAGAGGACGAGGCTGTACAGTTGAGTTATTTATTAAACTGAACTATCAGGGAAAAAATCTGATGGCTCAGTTTGCTTCACATGGAAGATTTGTATTACACATGGAATTCTATGGCCAACTGACCTTCATAATTGCAGACGGAATATTATACATGAAATAAAACAAGTAATAGAATTTGTTCGTTAAAAACATAAAATGGCAGCCTTTGGAAAGAACGAGTAGCATTTCATATTCGCTTACATGTGTATGGAGGTAGGCTTGGCCATAAAACTTCAACATACCAGGGACCTGTTTCTCAAACCATTGTATGTTGCAGTTCTTGAACATCCCTTAGAAACGCATGTGTTTACACATATGTTTCAATGGGATGTCCATGATCTCAGACTTACAACGGTTTCGAGGAACCGACCCCACGTGCCAGATTGAAGGTAAAATCCAGACATTTTCCATCTACTGTCTAATACTACACACACTAACTTTAATTTTCTTGAATATAATTGATATTTGCTTACTGTTTGATTATCTACATGCTGTTTTTGTTTCAGGCTAATGCTTCGAGGAAGAACATATCAGGAATATTTGACCTTTATATGCATGTCTTGACTATGGTGAATTAGAAAGGAAAGATGACTCATATTGGTGGACATGTTTACTGGTTGAGCAGTTCCTAATTTTTTTGAAACCGTTTGAGCTTGTCAAAGTCATCGACAAATTTGTCTCTGTTGCATCTTCGACCAGTTTCCCAATGGTTTTGGTGGACGCTTCAAAGAACTTGATAAAGCATAAGATAATTGGCTTTCAACCAGCATTCCCAAATAGACTGATCTTGACAGAAGTTGGCACACACATGAAAATGTGTGTGTGCGTGTGTAATTGGATTTTTACAGACGTGTAACAATCATCTGGGGACCAACCTTTAACGTCACCATCCAAAAGACGTGACTCAGTTTGGAACCGGGGTCACCTGAGCCAGATTGTACGCGAAGACAGAGAGCTGACCAAGTGAACGTGTCGCTAGACTAACTCACAGTCCAGTACATGCACTGAAGATTTTCACATGTACATTGTACCTTGTAAACCATTCAACTGTTCCTGTATATTAGCCTGAAACTGAGCAAATGTATTTATTACATAACCACACATCTACAATGCATAGAATGATAAAATCAAGAAAATCAAAAGTTATTGTGCATGGCAATACATGGGCAATGTGTGGACTTTCTCCTCTAAAAAGCAATGACACGTGTTTATTTATCATCATATTTATCCCTGACTTCCTGTGGCACATCCACCTTGAGTGCAATCCTGATGTAGTTTTCCGGTCCAAGATCCGTCTCCATCAAGTAATTGGGAGACAGGTATTCCTTTTCCCCCTTGACCCCTGCGTCACTCCACGTATGGCCGTCCCCCGAGAAGAGTTCTAAGATGCGCACCTCGCAGTAGAGGAACAGTCTCGTCTCCCAGTCCTTCTGGGGCTTCGGTAGTTCTTGGAACTTCTGGTAGCTCATGAAGGCCGGCGCGCTGGGATCGGCGAGGGCGTCGATGAACCGGACGCCGGAGTTCTCTTCGAAAAACTCGACTGGTTTGGTGGTGATGAGGTCCCAGTGGGCCTGGACGGCTGGTAGGGCGGCGGGGTAGCATGCACGGATGTACGACAGCAAGCCTTCCCAGGTGGCAGGAACAGGTGCAACTTGTCCTGAATTCAAGTTATCTGGACTCGCTGACGGCATTGTTGAGGTAGACTGGACAGATTCCTGACTTGGGGTGAGTAAGATGAGCCAGTAGCATACTTTTTGTTTGCAAGCCTAAAAATAAAATGAAATTAGAAAAGGTAAGGAAAGGAAAGATAACATTCTATGAATGGAGATTAAATGCACAAGTCAACTTAACCCCTTGAACCCTGAATTATTTGCATATTTTGTGGGCTACACTGTATACCATGAATTATTTCATGAATTACACATATATTTGACTTTGTCAAAAGTGCCTCAAAATATATGAAAGATACTTTCCACTTACTGACCACTTGCTCCATCGGTAAAAGGACTATAGTCAATCCCGCTTGTACCGGGTTGGTCATGCATAGATCTAGGTACCGATAAATCCACCATAAAAACCCTCATCATTTGTATCAATTTCATCCTCAAAATCAATTATTGAGCGTCATCAATGTCTTCTGCTGGATCTCCCAGTATTAATGCACGAGCTTCCTTGGCTGTCAATGTTTTTCCTTTCTCGGCAAGGCCGGAAAACCTGCCTTTCGTGTTTAAAGCAAGTGAGAAAACAAATCATAACAAAACTTCAGAAAAGATATCATAAGATTAAGAACATGAAGACGAGATGAAATGCATCCCTAATGAAATAACGTTAAACTTACCTTCAGATGTATGTACTCAGGAAGGAACCCAAGCCTAAGCAGCATCGTGTAAGGATCGTGTATATTCTCTATCAAAGCACCATAAACTGTTTCTGGGCCAAATATGAAGGCAGTCTTCCGGCCTGGAGTTTCCGACATATTCACCGGGGCAGTGTCGGCGTCTTTCGTTGTGCATAACCGACCATACACTTGCAAACGATCATTCGGAGATTTTCCTGCATTCTCGAGTTGAGCTTTCACCTTAAGATCAGATTCGGAGTTCTTACCAGTCAAACGCCTTTCAATAGAAGTTCTCAAGAATCTTTCAAGATCACTAAGAGAAAGTTGTCGTTTATAAGAACGTATTTCAGTATTAGATGCAGGTCTGCTTTCCATGGTTACAGTGCACCCCATTTTCGTTGTTAATAAATGCACGTACGCGTACACTGCACACACACAAAAAACAACATGACAACGATTTATCAGGTGACAAAGCCACGTGACCCAGCACACGGAAAACGGAGGAGTTTTGCATGAGCCTTTTTAGGAAACCTTTTTGAAATTTTGCAGTGTCACATTGATGCTACTTTATTTTTAAAGAGAGAGACGGGGGGGGGGGCATAATTTTGTAGCTTAAGAGGCTTTACAAATAGTTTGAATTTGGTTAAATTAGAAAACATTTGCCATTTAGGGGATGGAGAGCTTTGATATAAGATCTCTATGGCCAATAATAAGGCCCATCATTTCAATAATTCATTAGGTCATCTTGCGTTATTTTTAAATGTTTTTTTTTAAATCATAAAGACAGATTATCAAAAGAGAGCCCCCTATTTTAGAAGTAAAAACAAAGGATTATAAACTCTCAATAATTAGGAAAATGTGGAGTGTTCATTTTCATGGCTCATTTCGTTTTTTAATTTTTAATTTTTCAATGCAGGGGGGGGGGGGGTAAGGGGGATGACACTTGCTCACAAGCTGTGATATAGAACAATGAAGGAGGGGGACAAGGGGGAGATGGAACTATTTCCACCTAACGGTATTTTTTCTTCTTCAATGATTCATGGTAAAAGTGAAATTAGAATTCTTATGCATTAACCCGTACCTAATAATACATTCAATATTTTATCGGCTGTATGAGAAGTTTGAGAACCCAACATTTCTTTAAAAAGAAACCCTTTAAAGTGACTTGGTAACATTGTTGAAGGTTGATGACAAAATTGCTTAATTTTTGTATAAATGTTACTTACTATATTCCTTCTACTGTACTAACCCTCTGAAAACTCTGAAAATTCTGAAATAATTCTCAAACCATGAAGATACATGTATCTATGGTTTTCTGTGAAGGAGTCGATGTATGACACCCTCTAACAGTGATTAACAGTAAATTCTCCCAACCATTTTTGAATTTTCCCAACTGTTTTTCCATGAACAAAAAGACATAAAACAGGCTATAAAAAATCTCTCAACACTTAAATGTCCGGAATGGAATGCAGAGCCATTTTATTGTTCTGTGAGATTTCCATTCACCTAAAATGTAATTCCATTGTAATGATATAGTGTGGAGAATTAAGGAATCGATCAGATCAGTTTTTCCCAATTTGTACCATGAATAATGGTCCGTTTTCACTCAAATTTTCAGATTATCTTTAATTGTACATCTAGCATTGAAGTCCCTACCTTAGCACCACTATCTACCATCTGAACAATGTTACAAGGTCCCTTTAAAATGAGATAAATCAATCATGTACATACAGGCGCGTACGCAGGATTTTTTCAAGGGGGGGGGGGGGTACATTTTAAAATCGGGCCGAAAGTTTCGCAAAGACTCAGACAGTCGCTGAATAAGCGGAGGGGGGGGGGGGGGTTAGAGGACATTTTTTATTTTTTTGGTCTCGAAATTTGAAAATTTGACATTTTGCTCCGTATGGGGGGGGGGGGGGTGGTAAGGTCAATTTTTTTCTTTTTTTTCTTTTAAATTAAAAAAAACAAAAACACAAAACAAAAACAAAAAAGGGGGGGGGGGGGGGGGGGTCCTCAAAAATACACACATAATATGCAATGCACTGAATTCTAACACTACGTAGTCATTGATGCAAAGCCAATAAATAAAATATAAGGAGCCTAGCCCTAGTTGGCGCTCTTCAATATCAGCTTTCTGTCGGATGTCATTTACCTAGTTTGCAGAATTCAACCTTAGAAACAAATATATTTTTTTCTCTGACAGGTTATCAGAAATATATTTTGATTCAGATAACCATGCTTACAAATGAAACTGTATAAGGGGGCTGATTGAATGTGCTTCGGTGCCTGTATCACAATAAAAATTGGGTAAATTCTTTTATTTGTTCAGCCCCGAGTTTCAATTATTTCATGCATGATTTTTATAATGAGATGACTATTTTTTAGCAATGATATCGTCTGCTGCATTAGAGCCAAAAGGGCGCAAACGCTTTGAAAAATTGATTGATATCAGTTAAAGCCCTACTGCCTCTCCGTCGACTAATTTCGTTTCAATTTTCGTAGGGGCGTACCTAGCTGCTTAGGGTGGCGAGGTCTTATGCCCCACCCTCGTATCCTAACTGTATCACGATTGCAACTATTGCCGTAAACTCAAATCAAGGGCAGTTTCCTTTATCCTATTGTGTCCCATATAAATCTCGTTCGGATTACAGTGGGGGCTGTTTGGGATATTTTGGTGCAGATTTTTCTAAAAGCACCAAATTTGGCCCAGAGGTAGCTTATACCATACTATCACGATTTCTGCCTGGCGCCAAGAAGGGCGCCCTCTGGGAACGCCATATTGGGCGAATCCAAAATGCCCGCCATCTGAGTTAACCCTAAGAAGCCGCGGCCACCCCATGAATTTATCAACTTTTATCATACTAGTCCTTTTCCTTTTGGAACTACACTTGACCTTTAACTCCGATGGCGGCCATTTTTGATTTGGCCAATATGACCAGCATAAAAGCCCCAAAGAGACCTGTAATTGATACAAGAACATCATATTCAGATTCTCTGACCCCGAAAACCCCATTAAGATACAAACTTTCATCATACTAGCCCTTTTCTTTTTGGAACTTCACTTGACCTTTTACTCAGATGGCGGCCGGCCATTTTAGATATGACCAATATGACCAGCATTACAGCCCCAAGGAGACCTGAAATTGATACAAGAACATCATAATCAGATTCTCTGACCCTGAAAACCCCCTTAATATATTTACTGTTATCATTCTAGCCCTTTTCTTTTTTGAACTACTATTGACCTGTAACTATCAGATGGCGGCCATTTTGGATTTGATATAATATGACCAGTATGACAGCCCCAACGAGACCTCTAATCGATGAAAGAACATTATAATAAGATTCTCTAACCCCCAAAACCCCATAAATATATAGACTATTATCATACAAGCCCTTCTCCTTTTGGAACTACGCTTGACCTTTAACTCAGATGGTGGCCATTTTGGATTTGCCCAATATGGCGGTCTCAGAGGGCGCCCTTCTTGGCGCCTGGCAGAAATCGTAATAGTATCGTATAAGCTACCGCTGGCCCAAATTTGGTGCTTTTAGAAGAATCTGCACAAAACAACCCCTATTTAGCACTAACACTAACAGCACCCACTTAATTGTCATTTTTCGCACATTTCAACAGGCGATGCACGAGGCTTTTGAAATTACCTTATGTTGAATTTTCGAAATTAGTTGCGATCTTGTTTTGTATACCCTAACAAACATCCAAACAATGACACTTGGTTCATGACATAATATGGACTGGCCCTTTTCATCCTTATCCAGGATCCTACCTTCCGGGCCTCCCAATAAACAGAACACTAAAAAGTAACCTCTTTTGGGAGTGTATTTTAAGTGATTTTAAAGTATAGTGCCTTTTGAACTACATTTAAACGTTATCGACACGTGCCTTCATTTAAACAAAAAAGGTACTGCTGTTCACGTTCTCATCTAACCTAAACACCACCAGTTTATCACGCGACTGGAGTAACGTGATTCCACTTACCTCTGTAAATCAAGTATTTATGACCAAATAACCACTTGACCAAGCAACGAGTTTTTTGTCCGTTAACCGATTATGGCGATAAATACGTAATTATTTGGTCTTGTAAGCACCTTTATCGATTGGTTTCACAGGTTATCCGAGGTTGATGGTAATAATCACGTTACTTACACCGGCTAATTGTCTTATTGTTCTGTCCGTGAATCTCTGGTTATATTAAATTAGTAATTCGGAGGTGTCTTACACACCTCTTTAAATGGTTTCAAAGTTACCATAAATTTCTTGGTTATGATCACGTGGCTCAAGCTGATTACTAATCTAAGCTGTGAATCCGTGATATGTAGGTGTGAAAAATTAGTAATTATTAGGTGTCTTAAAACACCTATTTAAATGGTAGTCAAAGTTGCCAGCAGTTCCACGGTGATGATCTCGTGACTCAAACTGAATATTAATCTAAGCTGGGCATACGTGACTTTTAGGTGTGAAAAATTAGTCATGGTTAGGTGTCTTAAAGCACCTATTTAAATGGTAGTCAAAGTTGCCATAAGTTCCGCGGTGATGATCTCGTGAGTCAAACGGATTATTAATCTAAGCTGGGCATACGTGACTTTTAGGTGTGAAAAATTAGTAATTATTAGTTGTCTTAAAACACCTATTTAAATGGTAGTCAAAGTTGCCAGCAGTTCTACGGTGATGATCTCGTGACTCAAACGGAATATTAATCTAAGCTGGGCATACGTGACTTTTAGGTGTGAATAATTAGTCATGATTAGGTGTTATAAAACACCTATTTAAATGGTAGTGAACGTTGCCAGCAGTTCCGCGCTGATGATCTCGTGACTCAAACGGATTATTTATATAAGCTGGGTATTCCGTGTTTTCCAGGTGTGAAAATGAGTTATTCTTGGGTGTCTTGATGGTTTCATAGTTACCATTTAAATTCCGTGGTGATAATACCGTGACTGTTGGCATCTATTCATTGCACCAGTTGATAACTGGTCTGTGTGCATATTTCGAGTTGAATCAGCTGACACCAATTAATTTGCATATTGAATATGGGGTGCGTGCAGATCTATGTTTTTTAAACAATTTATCTAAATTTACAGCATATTTCTTAATTACTGATGATTTAGTTATATGCAATTCATTTCGAAAATACTATAATTACCAGTTATTAGGACATTTCGCTACTTCGTATAAATTACATTTAGTTATACATGAATAAAGGAAACATTAACTATGAACTAAAATAATTTCAATAAAGTACAAGTATACGAAATTGTTTCGATTAATCAAATTATGTAAGTCTACTTATTACCAATGCCTTTACATTGGAAATACAGACGTACCAGTATTGAAGTATTGTTGCTGTTCAACTGGTTGGAAATTAACCAATGGTTCTAATGGCTCAGCTAGACCAGTTGA